ACAAGCAATTAACGCATGTCGAACAAGCAATTAACGCATGTCGAACAAGCAATTAACGCATGTCGAACAAGCAATGAACGCATGTCGAACAAGCAGTTATGTTCCGCAGCGTGTGCGCCGGGCTTAATGATGTTAGATTATTTATGGGCTGTTGCAAATTGGATTCAGCTTTGAAGGCATGTCAGACCCTACATCTGCTGAAGGTGTGTGGAGAACCCTGGTATCAAATAGAGCTGCTGCTTTATTGTTATTCACTACAGTCGACATTGATCAATAGTGTAAAATTGCTATGGAACAATAGTAGTAGTAGAAAAGTTGCCTTTAGTAATATATTAGATGCCTAAAAAGTAATTGGCATATAGCCTTGAAAACGTGCTATACCTCTACTTCTGGCATAAGCAGTGCATGAATGCCTGTCTGCTTTAGTCAATAGAAATTCTATGGTATCTGCCTCCTCTGAGAATTAACAGTATTACTACGCTGTGTTTCTCATGTGTTATATCCTTCTATGTAGTGTACCTATATTATGTATATATATATATATATATTATTACATGCGCGGGGCATGCCCCTATATGTTTGATTAAAATGGTATTTGCTATAATTAATGATTATGTTTGCGAGATTGATTTCATGAAAACCTCTGAATACGTGACAGCCAATATCTAATCTGTGAAAGGTTCCTGGTTAATTTATTATCAATGTGCATAATAACTATTTATAACCACATGTTCATGTGTTTTCTCGTGCCAGGAAATGTCTTTAGCAATGTTAGTAGGCTAAGTATAGCAGAGAAATACTGAGTGAAGATGCGAGAAAAACACAGGGTTAATTTCACGTTACGTTATGTTACATGTGTTCGTGTCGTGAATGTTTTTTTTTTTTGCTAGTTATTTTGTTAGTTGTTACGGAGGGAGTGAACTCAATAAAATGCGTGGTTATTTGCCTGTGGGAAGGATAAAAAAATCCCCCTAAACGCGTTTTGTTTTAGCGCTGAATGTTCCCTTTTGAAATTGTTTTAAAAACTA